TTCCGATTGGCTGTAACCCGACCATGACGATTATGCTATGCGTTGACATGTTTGTTTGCCTCTTTCCCTTGCAGCTTTCTTCTTTCCTCCTCTTCTCCTCCCTCGTACCTTTCTTCCCTCCTCACCTCCTCCCTCGCACCTTTCTTCTCTCCTCTCCTCTTCCCCTCGCACCTTTCTTCTCTCCTCACCTCCTCACTCGTACCTTTCTTCTCTCCTCCCCTCCCCTTGTATCTATTTTCCCTCCTCTCCCTACCCTGCTGTCTCTCTTCCCTCCTCCTGCTTCCCCTCGCACCTTTCTTCTCTCCTCTCCTCTTCCCTTCGCACCTTTCTTCCCTCCTCCCCTCTCTTCTCGCCATATTGTCGGGTTGTGTTACATCCCTGCAATCGGGAAACCTTCAACGGGCGACCTCGCAACATGCACCGCGGCCATGATCTCAGCAAAACACGATGATTGGTTACTCGTAGCAACGATGTTCACTTGTTTTGCGACATGTCATCGGCCAGGTCACCGGGGTCAGCGAAACCGTCCTCCGTGACCCAACTTGAGCTTACACATAATCGCATCACACACTCGGTCAAGCAAGACCGTTGTTCACTTGTCTTATTTGGTAACCAATCAGCGGAGGTCGTGGATGAAATCATGGCGCGCGGCTGGGTCACATTTCGCAGTGCTAGTAATTAATGTGACGTACCGACAATACGCGCACACGCATGCATGCAGACACGCGCGCTCCCTCCCCATCTAGCACACCGTTAGTGACGACTACACTCTACGGCGATTATAGAATAAACATCTGTTAACAAACCTTTCTTTTAACCCAACTAATACCTTTACCAACCTCCGCTCTCCCCGTAGTTTCTCTCCCCGAGTGCTGCCCCTAATTCAGACATCTGATTGGTGCTTAAAGTCATATGTGACTGCGAGTGCGCACACACAGGTACCGTTGACCGATAACGCAAGAATAACATCACATTTTGTAACATTTAAGCTACACAAATCATAACAAATTTAGAATAAAAAATAATTAACACAAATAATAATGCTAATGGTAAGTAATATGGCATAGGGGCACGCGATTGGTGTCTCGACTCGGGGGAGGGGGGAGGGTTGCGCTCGTAACTGCCTGAGCCTTTTGGTGTCCTGAGCTCCATTGTGATGGACTTATCTCGCATGACAAAATCCCACTTACTAGTGTAAACTAAGAGGAAAGGAAGGGTGGTGGATCATTGGTTGGAGTACAGGGTTCTCTCTGTTGCTATAGAGACGCAATGGACTACATCAATGTAGGTATTTCTGCCGCTCCTAGAGATTACTCTAGGTACACAACTGCCGCCAATCACTGACGCCTGGAATATACCAGGCAGATCTCTCGTAATAAAAAAAGATTTGACTTGCAACCAAAAACCTGTATATATGTGACGGGTACGAAATAGGCGGACGAAAGGAGCGTGTTAATGTTTTATCACTCCTACAGGGGGCGCCACGTGAGCATCTGAAAATATGTCTGCTGCTGGATGCGCCATTTTTTTTACCCAGGCGAGGCAAAGGTCACTGACTGCTAAACAGCTGATACAGACATTCAGCTAATTTTTTAACAAACTAAACCACATGCAATGCCTTAATAACTGTAGAAAATCAACATTTGGTCTCATAGGTATGTTTCATTTAGCACATAAGCATAAATATCGCGTAAGTCATGTTAAACTTAAAGTTA